GAAACCCTTGTCCACTAATGAGTGCTGGTCATTCGTCTGGTGACAACACTGTCCACTAATGAGTGCTGGTCATGTGTCGTAGGGACAGTTACACGGAAACATTTGAATGATGTGTGTGGAGGGACCTCGGCCGCTGTGAGAGCTTCCCTTGCCTGTCACCTGGAGCTGTCACTGAAGCTCTTCTTTTTTTCGCTGAAGTCATGTGTAGGGATTCTGGCTGTGTAGAAATTAAACTTTCTTCCTGCCCCTTCTTCTCCCCTGGGGAAGCTATGCTTTCAGAAACTCTTACTGATCTTGGGGCAGTTATGAGGAAGAATCTTCCGTGGAGCTTCTCAGTCCAGGACAGAAGCCTTACAGGGAAAGAAGGCGATAGCTTCCCGTTTCTTTAAGCTGCCATACGCTGCCTGAGGTAGCTCTGTCCCTGCCACCACTCCTTGTGCTGGCAGCCATTCATACGGTGAAGCAGGCTGCAGCACGAAGAGAGGCTGAAACTTAATCTTTAAAAATGGGTAGTGCAAGCAAGGGGAATGTTGTAGAGGAGGATGGGTGCTGGGACAGGAGCTGGCGATGCCAGCTTATGCCAGTTTAAAGCAATAATGCATTTTGGGCATTACTGGTTCTGTTTATTCTTTTCAGAAATGCTATTCCACAAGCAAGGTTACCGCCACAGAGACCCGACTTCCTTCAGGAATCTCTAGAAAGCAAGGAACTGCTGGGACCTCCTTTCACTAGGTAAAAAGTCTGGTTTTAAAGTAACGAAGAGGAGGGTGACTTACAGTGGGCCTTATGCTGTGCTTATCCCCTCACCTTCGTAGTGCAGAACGTTCCGTAATTCTGGGACCGTGCGTTGCTCTGTCTAGCAAAAGGCCGTGGTGAGCGAAACGTGAGGTTTCCTGTGTGAAGCAAACACGAAGAATGGAACTTCCAAGTAAATGAAACAGCAGCCAAGGCCTTGGTTTCATTAGAGGGAGATCTGAGGGAAAGATAAGGCACATCACTTCGTTCCAGAATTAATGGGCCTAGCTTAAAGTTTCCTTTTCCGTCAGTCTCGCCACAGGAACTTGAGCCTTTGAGTTGTGCAGGATGCTTTTTGGCTCACCCAGATTTGCCCCACAGGAGGTTTGGGTCTGGATTTAACTCATCTACTGGGAAATCAGTAATGAGTCTGGTAATACAGAGCCAGAACTGTGTACTTTTCTCTGTCTGGCTGAATCAACTTTGCTGCTCTGAAAGGAGCCACTTGTTAATTTTTACTTTCCTCGAAAGGTCTGTGCTGCAGCAATTGTTCAGCTAAGCAGTGGTTTCAGAGTCCTGAGTGCTCGGCGCTGGTTTTAGTTACGGTGCCGCTTCTTAGCCCTGAAAGCGAGAGCACTGCGACTGCTCCGCTGCTTTCACCCAGGTGTTTAGGCTGAACTGGTCTGTAATGAGCTTTGGAGAAGGGAAATATCTCAGTTTCCTGGCGAAACCTAGCTGAGATCCCTGCTTCTGCTCCCCTCTTCACCCCAAACCAAAACAAGGCAGGAGTTCGTTAAAGCGTTGAATTCACAGCTCTGGGAGAATACCTGGATCACTGAGGATGGGGAGCAGGGCAGGCAGGAGTGACGGGAGCCTTGACTGCTTTGCTGCCTTGTTTTGGTTTTTAAACCACTGTGGGATTTTTTTTTTTCTTTTTTTGGGGGAGAGGGGTTGTTCCACTGCCCAGCCCAGCAGCGCACTGGAAAGCTGCTTGCAAGGGAGTAACAAGATTCCCCCTTCCGTTTTGTGCTGACTGCAAAGGACCAACAGGCTGCAGCACACAGGGACCTCACCCTTCTTCCCTCACAGGTCAGAGGCACCCTTTCAGCAGACATCTGGGAACAGAGGTTCTGGGCCGACTGGGAACTCACTCGTGGAAGAAAGTACCCGTCGGTGTCCGTCTGGAATGGGCGGTGCCACTCATTCCTGTCCGTCTCTCGCCTGTGCTGCTCTCCCGCCTGCGCCACGGTGGACACATGATGCGCACCGTGCCGTCTGGAGGCCGGCGCCAGGGTCATCCTCACCTTTCGCACCCCAAATGAAAGCTGGCACGGAAACGGTGAGCGCGTCGCGGAAGGAGAAACCAGCCTGCTTACTGGGCTGCTGTCAGCTACTGGTTTTTCCCGTGGCTCCTCTGCCCTGCCCGTCTGGTCCTTCAGCTCTTCCCGTTCCACCTTAACGCTGACCAGGTTAACTGGCCCTGAACGCCCGGGAGCTGTCCTCCACCAGCACGAAGTGGTATTTCACGAGTCACCAGCCCGCGTGTGCTGTACTGCAATTCATGCCTCTTCTCCTGCTCATGTGTGCTCCCTAGCAGGATGCTTTTCCTAGCTGATGACTTGGGAATACTGCTCCTTCAGAGCAGTCACAGCTTGCCAACCAGATCACAGGGATCTAAGAGGAACTCAGTTCAGTAGCAGTGGCTATGGCTGAGAGTCTCAAGAATTGGCATTCACGTCACCTGCAAGTAGGTGCTTGCATTTTAAACTCTTCCCCACAGAATGGGAGGTGTTAATCGTGATGAAATAGCTCCATGATTTGTTAAGCTCAGCTTCTGTAATACTTTGAGGGTCTCCCACTACAGGGGATGTCTGAGTGGGAGTAGGGCTTAGTCGGCCAGGTGCATCCTACTTGTAGGGCTTACTCCTGAAAACCCTTTGAGGAAGTAACCAGTGTCACTCTGACCTTGTAGAGAGGAGGCCAGCCCGGGAGCAGTCACAAAGGAGCCCGTTTCCAGGACTCTCTGGAAAAGCTGCGACCAGACTTGCAGCCGCATTTGCTGTCACCTGAAGACTTGGTGGGAAAACGGAGTCACCAAACTGCTGGTAGGTCCTCAGGTCTCAACTGCAGGAGTTGCGTTTCCTCCTCCAGCACATGCAAAGCTGCAGGTCAGCCCCAAAACGTAGGGGAGACAGGGCTGTCTGCTGAACGTAGAGCAGAACGGGCTTCTGAGGGAAGGCGTCCCCCAGCAGGGCTCGGTTTCCCCTCTGCTTAGAGCGTGGTTGTGAAGGGGAGGGATGCTGCCTAAGCACACCCCAGTACAGGGTTGGAACGCTCTAAGGGCACAGAGTTTATGTTCCGTGGGACTAGACTGACCGCTTGTAGGGCAAACGAGTAGTTCAGAGTCAAACGAAACCACGAGTAGGCCAAAAGAGCGTGTTTGGTACTAAGCCGTTTGCTAGCGCGTTCCTCACTTTCTGCATGTTCAGAGTGTGTTTTCAGAGCCTGTGGTGCTGTCAGGGCTCCTGCCCCCTCGCTGCACCTCATGTTTTGGGTGAACAGGTCCGTGTCGCAGAGGGACGGAGTGTGTGAAAAGGACTCGGAGGGTTCCATGTTTCCTGTCTACTGACCTGACTTTCCACGACAGGAAACAGCGTTAAGTCTGCTCCGCTTCCCTCGCCCGTGCCTCGGATCTCCCATCCAGCTGTAGGGGAGGAAAGGGAGCACCGTTCTGGAGAAGAAGCGGTGTTAGGGAGAAAGCTGGAGGTGGAGCTCCGACACATCCAAGAGCAGATGCAGTACTACTTCAGCA